AAATCAACCAGGCTTTTAGTGACAATATTAATGTATATAACTATTCTTAATAATATACTTTAGTATAACAAGACTGCTTGGATGTGATTTTCCATATGGCTTTTCCCATATGAAAAAGTATATTAATTGTCAATGATTCTGGAGAATCTGCAATGAGATTGAACTTTAACTGTTATGTATTTTGTTCCACACATACTACTTCCCTTCAGATTTGCTGCTTTTTCTTTGTTCTTTGCCTTCACTGATTCATAGCTTCTTCCCTCTAACTGCGCCTCTCTGTTTAGTGTCCCTTATTCTCCCATTCAACAGCCTGTTACAGTGATGTCTGACTTCTTTCCAAATTCTGCCAGTTCCCAATTTTGCCTATTTCCCACCCTTTTTATTTTGCTTGCTTGATGTTTTCACAGGTGAACAAAGTAGCTTTATGATTAATTCATTCATCTTCTACTCCCTTTTATGGCTAATATTTTTCCTACTTTATTTCCCTGATGTCTTATGTGAATCTGGCTTAACTAACTCTTTTTCAAGTTTTTTTTAAAATCACTATGCCTCTTTGCTGTCCTATATTTAATCACTTGTCCTTTCCTTTCTCTCTCTCTTTCTCGTTTAAATATATTCAAAGTTCAATTTCTTATCTTTTATTCTAATGTCTCATCTCTTTGCTCACTATCCCAATGTATTAATATATAGGTTGCAAATTCCCACCCCGAAGAAGAAAAGCTGCAGATCAAATCCAGGCAGAACCCTTAGGGTCTAATTTACAAAAAGAGCTATGCAGTAATGTGACAAATGCAGTAACTGAGTATGAACTAATACCTCTTCTCCCAGGTCCTTGAAAAATAAGTTATATGAAAGTGCATGATACATACTGAAAGTACCAACAACATGTTGTCTAATTTCCTAAGATATCTACCATTGATAGATAATCACCATTGAAAAGGTGATTATCTCACACAAAGCTGTCTACTTCATATAAATTGTTTTATACTAACTGTTAGCTTTAGTGTAGAAATATTCATGTTTCTAATATTAAAAAGATGCATTAATACCCTTGCCTATTACGCAGAAGTTATTTATTTATTTATGCAGCTAAGAAGTGTTATTTTTAAATAATTATGTTCTTTATCCAATAAAGGTTCCAAGGCAGCAATCTTTTCTTTCAGGAATACAATAGGTTCTTCATGAATTTTACTTCCACGTAACTTCCTTTACTCAGGGGGTATACTTTTCCATTCAACTATAACAAAGCTGTAAGACTATAATCTTTAAATATTTTATAACAGAATTTTTTCTACTGACTACAGTCACTAAAATGGGACTAAATGAAAAATTTAAGTGCCCCAAATTTGTGAATTAAAATCACGAATTTGTTTTAACATGGACTGGAGAGAATTGCCTGCAACATTAAATTTGGTATAATCTGAGGATTTGCAACCAGACCGACAGTCTGTTTCAAATTACCAAACTTTGCTCTGTTTTTTAAATATTTCAAATATTTGCATTAGCCTGTTATTTCAACCAACTGAGTTTTTCCACTATTTTTTTAAAAACTTAAAATTATTCCAGTTTTCAGTGTTTTTTCCAGATTTGTAAGTTTCACTAGCAGATGAAAAAACATTGCTTGATTTTTAGGTGCTCTGGTGTAAGATGTCATTGAACTGCTTTTTAAGTATGACATTTAGGAGATTAAAACAGATATCTTATTTGGTATTCTCTAAACCAGGGGTGTCAAACTGCTGGCCTGCGGGCCGGATGTATCATGGCGAAACCACGCCCACCCCATTGCCGGCAATGGCAAAAAAGTCATGAGGCAAGGGTCTCTTTAAAAGCAAAAAGCTGTCAAGGTGGCTGTAGCAGAGTGAACTGTGCACTAATCTCAACAAAGTTGCATCTGCTTTAAGAAGTTTACTCACACTATAGTGTGCTTTATCTTCTTAATGTAACTACAGATAGTCCTTGACATACAACCACAAATTGAGTCCAAACTTTCCATTGCTAAGTAAAACAGTAGATAAATGAATTTTGCCCCATTTTACTACCTTTCTTGCCATAGATGTTCAGTGAATCACTTCAGTTACGTTAGTAACACGGTTGTTAAGTATATCTGGCTTCTCAATTGACTTTGCATGTCAGAAAGTTGCAAAAGGTGATCACATGACCCTGGGACATTGCAACCATGATAACTACAGGCCAGCTGACAAGCATCCAAAGTTGATCAGTTGACCATAGGGATGCTGCAATGGTTGTAAGTATAAAATGTCACTTTTTTCAGTGCCACAGTAACTTTAACAGTCACTAAATGAACGACTGTAAGTCAAGGACTACCTGTATATCTTTTTTTCAGGCTGGCAAACAAAAAGCAGCTATTTAACAAACAGCAGAGACATATTGCGTTCCTAGAACATTTGAAGTGCTTTTTTATAATTTTGAAATGAAATGTCTATATAGAAAAGATGCAATTACTTTTATATTCATTATGTAATAATATAAATATGTCAATCCACAGATGTAATGTGCTTTGCTAATATGGTCTATTTTGTAATGCCAAACAATTATTAAAGAAAAAAATAGTAACCTTTCTAATAAAGATTTTTAAAACAAAAGTTGCATTCTGCATCATTAGCTAATTTACAAAGACGTTTAAAAATATTTATGTTATTCTGGGATGAGAAGGAAATCTTCATCAATTGTTTAATAATTCACTTAAAACCAACTGTAACACAGTCGAATCACTACCCTGCCCAATTAAGTTACTACATCCCAGCCATGAACCAATGCAAGTATAAAATGAAGACTAAAGACCAAGATAATATATGGGTGGAACAATTATTTCATCATTGAGCAAAGAATCGTGGAAAAAAGCCTACAGGAACTATTTTCTCTGTCAATGCTGTCCACTGGAAATTCTGACTTATTTTTGTTTTTTCCCCCTTAAAACTTTGGCAGTCTTCTCATGGAATACCTCAGGAAAGAATACCAGGCCAAAGACTCTGCTTTTATGAATTATGTTACCAGGTTTGATATACTTTTATTCCAGGAAAACAGGTGAATTGCTCTTAGATGGAACAGGACAGAGCAAACTGTGGGGATCTAAGTTTATATATTTCAACTAAATCGTAGAACTAGATCCATTGGAGCATTATGCAAAAACTGTATTATTAAAATTTAGCACTGTAGACAAGAATTCATTTTGGCTCCTTTCCTCTTCAATTTAAACATCAACCCTGTTGTAGCCAAAATAATTTAAAGCATCATCTTCCAAAACTAGCCAACAAATATATTGCAATCTTATTGTAGGCAATTGTATTTTATGATGTAGTGGTTATATTTGCATACGTCATTTGGATGAAAATGAGCTCTAAGTGCCCTAGCCACTTATTGATCTGCACTTCAAATTAACTATACTGAAATAAGTAGCTTAACTTTTGCAAAGCAACCATGAAGGCTAATTCACCAAAGCAAGCCAAAATATTTAAATATTTGGAATTGGTTTTTCATAGTTGTACCAAATGCAATGCATATCAAAACTATGTAACCCAAAATGCAAAAAAACCAATGATATCTGTATAATCTTTCCATTTCATCTGAAATGCACAACATGTCCCAGCCACATTAAAACTTAAAATTAACTGAGAACACATGCAGCTTTTGTTTGTTAGTTAGGTGGACCTATATAGCTTTTTTTGCCCCTCTGGAACATGGTACTAAGTATTTAGGAGGGAGGGGTTGTTTAATTATAATCAAAACAGGTACGTGGATTTTTATTATTCCTTGCTAGTTGTTTTTTTCTCTGCTGATTATGTTTTTTTAAATATCCACTGCAGATAATTCTAAATCAATATGGGAAAACATCCCTGTAAAAATTGCAAGAATGGATTCTCATCCATCTAATAAAGGGCTATGATCAAACACTTCTGCATTCAAGCAACATGCTAGAGATTTTGAAGCACTGCCCAGGAATAGATCTTTTTTTAGGCTGCCAAGATATTTAAAATTAAACTAAATAACTGTCTTTAAACTTCTGAAAAACACTAGCATTATGACATTTCAACTTTTTCTCAGCACTATTTTTGAAAGCAGATACAAAAACAAAAATTCTTTCAGAGATAAAACCATCCTTGTGGAAAAGAATCCAAACAATCTCATTATTATTATACTGCACTGTATATCAGTATGCAAGGGCCCAATTTCTAATTCCTTATCTGGTGAATAATTCAATTCTGTTTTATGCTTAGTTATTTTTTATCAGACCAGTGAAAATCTATTTCCTTCAAATATGACTAAATTATATTATAATATCTGTAAAACTAGGCACCATAACTTCCTCAATGACCCAGTTATAATTTGTTATTGTCTTGATTTTATTTATAAAAGAAACTGTCTAATTTTTTTAATTATTTGTTAAGTCACAGAATTTTGATTAGTTACCATAATGAAGGTTTTATCAATGATTAAATCCTTATGTGTCAAAACCTGT